AAGGACCAGGTTTTCAAATTTCTGAGTCTTTGGGGGATATTCTCATTGAAACCACCACAAATAATTTTAAGCTCTACTATTTGCTTTCTTTGCTTATCTTTGAGGGAGTCCTTTCCTGCCATGTTGCTTTAATGTTATTACGACCAAATTACCTGCTAACTTAAGGGAATGGTTTGTTTATTTAAACTCATTTCTTCAACTTAAAGTAGAGCCTGTTTTCTGGCCGAATAATGTGAAATGCTGAAGTTGGTACCCTGAGGAGCTAGGTTAGTCTATTGTAGAGTACAGTCCCTCATCTTTACCTTAAATTTTCCAGCATACTGTGTATCTATCATACATAGTACAAGCCAAGGGTCCTACTTACAAAAAAACAGAAAAAAGAAAAAAACAATATGATAGAGTCATTGCTCTAATGAAATAATCACTGTTTTATATCCTTAAACAAATCATTTCCCCATTGTTAAAAGATCCGCATTGAAGCCTAATAGCCACAATTCACTTCAGTTGGACAAGAGGCATGGACTCTGTGATGTCTTGAGGTCTACTGAGAGCACGATAAATATGGTTGATAGCAATATGATATACTTTAAAAGTTGTGAGATAGTATACTTTAAGTGTTCTCAAAAAAATGATGAATATGTGTGATATAACATGTTAATTGGTTTAATTTAGCCATGCCATTGTATTATGTATCATAATTGTGCATGACTTTATTTATGAGCTAAATAAATGAATGGAAAAAAGAAATAATCACTGTTAAACTAGACAATAAACACAGAACATACACTGCATGACATTTTTATCAAAACTACTTACAAAATAAATAAAATAAAATGAATTCCTCAAGTAAGTTAGAAAAGAGACAGCTAAAGTCCATGGGAGCATAATGCCTGCTATGAATACCAAAATAATGAGAAGATTGTAATGACCAAGAATAAATAAATAGAAAATAACTTCAAACCATCTGATAGCCTGAGTACATTAAAATATTCAAGGAAATTGATTTAAGTCATCAAGTTGTAATTCATGTGAGTGAGTGAAAATAATAGTTATAGAACTAAAGGATAAACCGGGCGTTGGTGGCACACACCTTTAATCCCAGCACTCGAGAGGCAGAGGCAGGCGGATCTCTGTGAGTTCAAGGCCAGCCTGGTCTCCAGAGCAAGTGCCAGGATAGGCTCCAAAGCTACACAGAGAAACCCTGTCTCAAAAAACCAAAAAAAAAAAAAAAAAAAAGAACTAAAGGATAGATAGTGCTTAGGCCATGAGGTCTGCTCACTTGTGAATGGAACTCAGGTGCTGTATTGATTACTTGTCTTCTGATATTTAAAACAAAGAAAGAAAATCAGAATCTGGATACTCCAGAAATCCAAGGGTGTATTTAATTCACAGTTTGGGTTTTCAGGAATGTGGTAACAGCATCTAAGGGCTCTCGGAAGGCCTCTCATCGTGGTATAGTGAGAGTAGGAACACCCACAAGAGGAAGGGACTACACGTTGAGAGGGGAGTGGGGATTGCTCTTATGACAACTAACTCACTCAAGAGATGGATTTAACACCTTTCATGTGCAGTAGCTTCTCCAACTCCATGGTCACCATCCACTATTCCACTAGCACCACCTCTGAAAACTTCCTCTACGTGTGTGTGTGTGTGTGTGTGTGTGTGTGTGTGGTACACATGTGCATGGTGCACATGCGTGTAGGAGTCCACATATACTGCACTTGTGTGAGTCACGAGGCCAGTGACTGACAGCAGGTGTCTTCCTCAATCGCTCTCACTCATCACCTTTTTGTTTTCTTTTGGTTTTTTGAGACAGGTTTTCTCTGTGCAACCCTGGCTGGCGAGGAACTCGCCCTATAGACCAGGCTGGCCTGAACTCACAAGAGATTCTTCTGTCTCCACCTCCCGAGTGCTGAGATTAAAGGTGTGCATCACCACTGACACACCACTCTTCACCTTTCGTTGAGGTGACTTCTCCCCCCTGAAGCCAGAGCTTGCTTATTTCGCTAGTCTAGCTTGCCAGCTTGCTCTGGGGATTCCATGTTTTCTGCTTCTCATGTGCTAGTAGCCCAGCCAACACTTATCTGGGTGTTGTGTGTCTGAGCTTTGGTCCTTGTGCTTGTACTTCAACCATGTTATCTCCTGAGCCATCACATTATGACCTCCTTCATCTCTTAAAGCTACTGTATTGATGACAAAGGTTTTTCATCAGTGTATGAGCCCTGAGGACAAGTCTCCTCTGAACCATAACAGAGATTGTCTGAGCATTCAAAGAGCTTGGACGCGCATATTTGGATGAGTGAAGACACATATTCCTTCTCTCCAAAGAAGGCAACACCGCCTTAGAAGCAGAAAGCAACTGATATCAGACAGCTAAATATACCGCCATGTTGAGCTATGTGCCCCAACTTATAGAATACAAAAAAAGACATTTCTGTTCTTTATAAATGACTGAGTCTCAGATACTTGTGTTACAGTAACTCTAAAGAGATTATGGTAGAAACTAACACCAAGAAGAACGTGTGCTACCGTGACCAATATCAATCTATGTGACAATGATATCAGAGTTGTGTGTATGGAGAAGCAGAACAGTACTTGTGAAGGCCATGGGTATGGCATGAAGGATGATTCTGAGGTGGGCTGTGGCAAATAAAGGTTATTGAAATGGTTATGACAGAGAATATTACTCTGATGAGACCATAGACAAAAATTAAGAACAAGGTATCAGAAAGGATAGGAAAGGTCATTCCTGAGTTATCTCAATGTCCTAGGACCTTTTTGGAAGACAGATCTCAGTGCAGTAAGCTAAGATACAGATCTCAGTGCAGTGAGCTAAGATAGTTGGTAAAACAAATCTCTAAGCAGTGCTAAGTGGCTCTTCTTAACTTCTTATGCACAAGAAAGGAAAAGAAGGGCATGACTTAAATACATAACTTATTAAAAAAAAATGGGTCACTTTCAGCCTGGTCATGTAAAGAATTAAAACATCATGCTTAATAGGAATAAAATCTAAAATGCAGCCAGGCAACTATTAGACAATGAGATTTCTCCTGGAAGGATTAAGCCAGGTGCTATCCTAAAGACAACGGATGATCCAACGCCAGAGGCACTTCAGTGGCATTCAAGGTGGTGAAAAGTGCCAGGGACTTCTGGGTAGAAGAGCTTAGAAATGGACACAGAGGATGCAGGAATCTCAGGAGACCCACAGGACTTAAGGGACCAAAGGGACCAAGGGGACTCAGGAGACCCATGGGAACTGTGGACATTAGATTCTAGCATCTTAACTTTTTGGGCACACTCACAGGTATATTGTAGGTCTTCAGGTTCACTTTTTGCCTCTTGAGTATGTAGATGTCCATTTATGGGACTAACCGGTCTCCAAAGGTGTAAGCCAACTCAACAAACCCCTTTTTATAATCATATATAGAAAGAAGGGTAACTATATTGGTAGATATGGATGGATGGATAGATGGTAGATAGATAGATAGATAGATAGATAGATAGATAGATAGATAGATAGATATACTGTTAGTTATATTCTTCTACAGAGTACTAACTCAGCCAAAGAAAAATTCCACAAGAACAATTTCTTGATTGAAAGAAAATGTGTAGTTGCTTGAAATAAAATGGCCCCCAAAGAGAGTGACACTATTAGGAGGTTTGGCTTTGTTGTGGTACATGTAGCCTTTTTTGAGAAATTATGTTACTGTTGTTAGGCTTTGAGATCTCATATATCCTCAAGCCACACCCAGTGTCTTAGTTCACTTCTTGTTGCCTGCCAGATGTAGAACTCTCAGTTTGTCTCTAACACCATGTCTACCTTCACATTGCCATGTCCTACCATGATAAAAATGCATCAAACCTCTGAAAATGTAAGTCACCACAACTACTTGTTTTTCCTTTATAAGAGTTACCATGGTCACGGTGTCTCACAGCAATAGGAACCCTAACTAAGACCATGGGGATGGAGATGCCCCAAATCTTACAACTGAGGACCCACCAGGGGCCAATGCCACCCCAGGAAAGCTGAGGCACTTGACTGACTATCCTGTAAGAGCTGAAGCATGGCCAATTCCTAAAAATCCATGGGAATGAGGTTTCTTAAAGAGCTGGGGACCCTAACTTCAACCCCTATGGAGGTCACCTAGATAAAAAGGGTATTCTCAAACCTGAGTACTTACTGTTTGCCCTGCTTGTTTTTTATTAAGACTGGTTACCCAGTCTTATTCACTTTTAGAAAACCTGCTCTGTGCTTGATCCCGATTCTCATTTCAGAAGCACTTAACCTGTTTTATTTCATGGATCCAAAGCTAAAAAGCAGTTCACCTGAGTGTGAAAAGCACTAGCAAATCTCCCCCAAGTCTCCTTTGGGTGACATCTGAAGCCACTTGACCTTAAACTATGTTGATGCTTTAATGACCTTGGGGATGATGGGATAGAATGATTATATATTTTATGTAGAGGGTCTTGGATGGGGGATTCAAGAGAGATGCTAAGACAGACTGTTGGGGAGTAAGACATTTCTTAAAAGAGTTATTACTATCCTGGACACAGACACCAGAATGGCCAGGGCTCTGAAGAGACAATACAGACAGCATGGTAAGACATCAAAGACAGGAAATCATGGCCTACATGGCAGAAGTATGATATCTTCTGGTACCTTCTGAGGACTGAAGTGGATTTACAAGACCAGCCTGAAGCGATGATGATTCCCAGGCAAGAGACAGGGAAGAAAGTGAGAAGCGGGAGGAATAGCTACAAAATTCAACTTTGATGTCAACTCACTCCCCCAGGTGAGAAAGCCTGGTTCCTGGAAATCTATTAGCTGAGACTGGCTAACAGCGCCTAACGGGGGTGTTTGTGTGGATGTCTGAAAGAGGTAACGGGCTGCTTAGGGCACTGTGAGCAGTTGGACATCCTTTCCTCCTAACAGTACATACTTACCTCCCCAGTGTTTCTTTGGTCATAGTGTTGCATCACAGCAATACTAGTACTGAGACACCAATCTTCAGCAATTTATTTGTTTCACCAATATTGTAACTCACCAGCTAAGCTAGAGTGGTTGACTAGGAAGTTTCAGGGATGACCTGTCTCCACTCCTACATCATGGGGCTGATAGACAAGTACCACTGTGTGTGGCTTTTGCCTGTGTACTGGGGATCTGAACTCTGGTCCTCATGCATACACAGCAGGTGCCTTACCATTGAGCCATCTCTCCAGACTGCCAAACACTTCATTTACAATTTCAGTGTTAAGAGACAAGGATACCCATGATGAAGATATTCAGACCTCCAGATTCCAAAGAAAATGCACTCAGATCTTGTTAATTAATTGCATTTCCTGGAAGAGACAAAACAAAACAAAACAAAATCTTTTGGACTTTCTGAATCAAACAAACAGGCAACAAGAAAACAGATAAATAAAATGCTTCCCTGGGTTTCCGGGACTGAACACACCATAGACACATTCTCCACCCATTTTCTTTGTATCTGGGCACTTCAGCACAACAGCATCTATCTCTTTCTGTTTTGCTTCTGTTTCCTAATAGCAGGTAGAAAAGATTTATTACTAAAATAAGGAGGCATGGCTAAGTTCTGTATGGTCCCGTGAAGCAAGAAAAAATGGCACAACCCTTTCAGGCCTTTTGACCACATATCACATGGTATCTATTATACTATATGAAAGTCTGCCCTTATACCCTACTTTTTCAATCACCAAAAATATTTTGAATTATTTGCTTATGTGTGATTTTTGTAGTTTTTATTACAAAACACTTCCCCATTTACACATGTTTGACAAGGGATTTTTGTTGTTGTTATTTGGCTATTATACTTTAAAATGGGTCTGTAATGACTCACTCCCATCATTAATCAAGAACACAAAAGCATTGGGACTTACAATGATTTATCCTACAGTCCCTAGAACTTAAAGTTACTCAGAAAACATGTTTGTGACTCATGTTATTTATACTTTGATGAGTTTATTGGGACCTAGCCCCATAAAGCATGAAGCGATAGCTCCACGTCATATTATATACATTGGCTGAATGCTCACTCTATCAAATGCATATGGTTTGGTTGTGTCGTTATAAAGTAAACAAACAGAATTAAATTCATTCATTCACTGAATAAATATTTACTCTTGTGTGTTAAACATTGAACCAATTACAGGGAACATAATATCAAGATAGACATTTCTAATTTGGCAAGGAAGACTTTAAACAGTTGTGTGTAGTATACCATTAAGGAGACGTTTATGTCACAAGAAGCATTTTGAAGACAGCTGACATACTCGTGGGGTTAGTGACAACTTCAAGTGGGAAGAGGGGCATAAGCTAAGATAGATCTCCGTGAGCAGGGATGACCTACGTAAATAGGAGATGGGGGACAGGCACAGACAAAGCAGTCTGCCTCTGACCTGACAGTGTTTCATCAACACAGTAGAAATAATATGCACTTCAATAATTTTTAAGCTCAATTGATGTAAGGAAGAGAAAAATCATTAAAAACAATGCAGAAAGAAGAAGAGTTTAATTCCAGCTGGGAGAATCAAAACAAATTGTCATTTGAGTTGTTTTTTTTTTTTTTTTCCAGGAAGAATAAATGGGATTTGGGACTTAGGAAGGTGGAATGAATGAGTACTTCGATCAAAATGAACAGGTGTTACAAGGCCACAGACGCAGGGGAGTATGGTGCATATTTTGAAAAGACTAGTATAGCCAGAAGGCATAGTGAGTGGAGCCCTACAGTGAGAAGTGAGAGATAAAGGCTGTAAAGCAAAAATATAATTATAGAATCTTGATAGCAGAAGGAAAATGATATTACATGCAGTTTAACACTTAACTGATGGCTGGTTTCAGATCATAACAATGAATATCACGCTATGAAATTTGAATTTTATTATCACGGCAATGAGGCATCCATGTTTTGTTGAGCAGGAAATAAAATGGTCGGCTATCCCTCTAGAAAGCCCAATCTGTTGGCAGTGGAGGACTACTAGGCTAGAGAAGTGAGTGGAACCAAGGCTCCAGGAAGATCTATTGCAATAATGAAGGCAGGAGAGGCAAGACCAGAACACAGAGTGGTGGTAATGACAGAAAGAAAAGTATATCCGTGAAAGAGGCAACGCAGAACTAAAGGAGCATGATAACTTAGTGGGTGGAAAGAATGGAGTCTGGAAAGTGTGCTCTACTTTCATACTTGAGTCAATAGAAGAAAGAAGAAATGAGAATATTTTGGGAAAGTAAAGTGTTTGACTTTGTAAGAATATGCAAAAGATTGGGCTGGAGATATAGCTCAGCTGTTAAAGGCTAGGCTCACAACCAAAAATAAAAGAGTATTCTAAAGGCAATGCTCAGTGATAGGACAGGTGCTGAGGTCCTGCCCTGTCTACTCAGGCAACTTGCTCTACCCAGCTGATGTCATTGGGTAAATACGAGTGTCTTCATTGGATCATTACGGTTAAGAGTCAAAGATGAATTGAATGTGTGGTTCATACCTGTAATCCCAGGACTTAGGAGGCAGGAAATTTGAGGCCAGCCTTGCCAGTTTGAAGTCATATGGAATAGCTTGTCTCAAAAAAAAAGAAAAGAAAGAGAGAGAGAGAGAGAGAGAGAGAGAGAGAGAGAGAGAGAAAGAAAAGAAAGAAAGAAAGAAAGAAAGAAAGAAAGAAAGAAAGAAAACAAACACACAAACAGAACAAAATGATTGACAATGATTCCCGAACAAGGAAATTTAATAGCCAATAATCAATGGTGCTTATAGGCCATATACTTATGGTACATTGAATCAAACATTAATTCTTATTTAACTGTCAAAGAATAAGTAACCACAAGACACAAAATATAAACATACCAGTATTACAAAGATATTTATATCTTATCCCTTCTAAACACTTTTATATTTAGGATTCTGTGATTATTTTATTGTCATTATTTGGCAACAGCTACCTAATTGTTCTTAGTATATGAAAGCTAAGCTAAACCAGGGATCAAGATCTCAGGGAGTAAAAACAATTTGTGTTGGTCCTGAGTACCCTGCTTCTTGTGTCAATTAGACAAAAGTGCAAAGTTTCAGAAATAACACATACACTAAGGATACTTCCTTCCTATCAATTAGCTCTGTTATGCAAATCCAAATGTGTCCCCCCTGTTGCTTTGTTTACTGTGTATACAGGTGATGAAAACCTGGAAAAAGAATGTAAAACGTGACAATCGTAGACTTGATCGATGTGAGCAATGTGTTAAGACAGAGAAAAATATGTCCCATTTTACTTGTCTTTGGGATGCTTCTCATTTAAATGATGGTGAGAAAGTGACATGGTGACAGTTTAAAAGGTGAGGAGTTCAATTCCTGCCAGATTTAGCTCTGATTGGAGGCAGTAGATGGATGTGCCGTGTCACTCAAGCAGAAACAGGTGTGTTGGAGGATACTTGAGAAATAAGGCTTTGGGATAAAGATTGGGAAAGAAAGCGTGTGTGTGTGTGTGTGTGTGTGTGTGTGTGTGTGTGTGTGTGTGTGTGTGTGTGTGTGTGGGGGGGGGGGGTGGGAGAGTAGAGAAGTGATAATAAATTCCAATTCTTAAATTCTTAAAAAGAAACAAATAGAAGAAAAGATAAAATTATCAACCCAGATACCCAGGTGTGAAAAGCTGCAGAGGAGAGAAGAGGGTTGTTGTCAACGGCAACTTCCAGATCTTGCAGATTTTTGACTGTAGGTTTTACAGAGGCGTTTGGAGCTTTTTGTGAAGTGACACATGAAAGATGTTACTCTCTTCTACTGCTGAACAAAAAAAGACTTTTTCTTCAGAAGTTCTCTGTACTTGGTTCTATGCCTTCTCTATTTGACTTAAAGACAGCACTTCCTTCAGGAGAAATAAGCCAGACAGACCACTTGATGCTTGGCTAAATTGAATTCCGCATTGATTTAACATCTATAATTGCCCTGTTCGTCCAGAATACACAAAGGTAAATAAGCCATCTAGTTCCTCATCTCTACTAACCCACAGTCTATTTGCAGGATAAAATATACACAACCAGAATACCACTGTGGGTGCTCTGTTCATTCATTATAAGCAGAAGAAATGCATGCTGAATATTTTATAGAAAAGGAATGTTTTGAGTTGCTTAAGGAATGTTCAGAATCAATGAGTCTAGAAAACAAACTTAAACCACACTGGCACCCAGCAAGGCAAAGCAGGGGGCCATACTATCAACAGAGGCAACACAATTGAAAGGGAGAAGTACATGACTGCCAAGGCATAATGAACATCTGCTTACAAAAGGAACACATGATTGACCTAGTTTTGATCAGATGCCCTTGAGTAGAGGAATTCAATGAGTATCCTCATTTCAGAAACCAAATTACACGAACAATTAGGAAGAAGACATGGCCATTGATAAACAAAATGCTAAATCCATGGGCAATTATTCTCAGGATGGGGTACAAGATGCTGTGAGGGGGCAGAAGATGGAAAAATAATCCCAAGGAATAAATCATAACCACAAATGAAGGAACTTATTTACATAAATGATAGCCGTAAGTGTAGATGGAAGTTTCTACCCCGCCTGGTCCTGCAGCCGTTCAGTCCCAAATAAACACACAGAGGCTTATATTAATTATAAGCTGTTTGGTCTATTGCTCAGTCTTATTACTAACAAACTCTTACAACTTAAATTAATCCATAATTCTTATCTATGTTTAGCCACATGGCTTGGTGCCTTTTCTCAGCAAGGCATTCTTATCTTGCTTCTTCTGCATCTGGCTGGGGACTCCATCTCTGCCTTTCCTTTTCCCAGAATTCTCCTAGTCTGGTAGCCCCGCCTATACTTTCTGCCTGGCTACTGGCTAATCCGTATTTTATTAAACCAATACAATTGACAAATCTTTATAGTGAACAACATTATCGCAGATCACATAAGGGTTAATATTTGAAGGCTCTCTTCTGCTTTACTTCAAAGCCCCATCCTTAAGTCCCAACCCAATCACTAAGAAAAGGGATGTCAATAAGTAATTCTAAGGATATTGAATTTCAAGTTCAGGTTGACATTAGTAATTGAGGAAATGGATCAAGATGGGACTGGATTCATATACTCAGAGGAGAAACCCAAACAGAAGAAACAATGGCTTCCTAGTACATGTGTTGTTAGGCATGAAGGTAATGATCTCTGTGAGAATGAAAATGAATAGATGAGGCCCGTGTGCTTCAGGCTACTCTCTAGAGCAGAAATTCTCAACATGTGGTTTGCGACCCTTTTAGGGGTAAAAGGGCCCTGTTACAGGAGTCAGTCACCTAAGACCATCAGAGAACACAGGTATTTACATTATGATTCATAACGGTAG